TGTGGAATTGGTGGACAGACACTCCGTTTCGTGTAACCACACTTGTCAACACGGCTCTCATTTCAACTTTACAACTTAACAAAACATTACACGAAATCAGAGACTTTAAACAAACATTGAACGTTAAGCAATACACAGTTATCGACCCTGAATAGTTCACTCTTCTATACTCCGTTATAAAAAGTTTAGAAAAGGACGATTCTCGCGGGGATTCTGTTTGTCATTTCACTTCTCCTGAATCTTTTATTTCTATATTGAATGTTGTTTTTATTTGAAGGATGTTGATACATGTTTAATAGGCATGGTGCACGTGGAAAACATACCGTTAACAATTTTATTTTAAATTCAAACACAACTATATATGGATATATACAACTTTTGAATTGGCCTAATTAGGCTATAGGCCTACTACTTGATGGATTAATTAGGCTACATTACCTGTATGAGTTTCAAAACGTAGTATTAAATGAAGTCAGAAGTATTATATCTATATATCTTTTCGCCATTGTTTGTATGATACACATTCGTTCTCTTAGCTATGTAAACTCTCTGAATCTTTAACGTGCACAGCTTGGAACGCACGGCGTCTAGGTTTATTGTCCCATTCCCCTGACGAGATGATTTTTAGCCGTGAGATCGCATCACTATTAGAGGAGAAACTCCTGAATTGCAGATCAACAAGACTTCGTTCCGTGTTTAATCTTTTTTCTTGATTTGCGCAAGAAAAATATGTACGATGCCTTAGTTAATATTCGCAGGTGTGTATTTGGGTTTTACTCATCAGAACAAATTAGATAAAAACAGTCTAAAAACTAAAATACAACAGTTTCTGGGTAGGAGTGGGATTAGAGATTTAATGAAATACCGCTTGTATTATATAGATCACGTGACCTCCTGGAGAGAATTTAATTAGCATACATATCATTTTAGTTTTCTCGTCATTTCTCGCCTACTGCGAGATAATAGGAACTAATTTGAATTAGACATGCTCACTGTAGATAAATTCATCTCCAATCATTTTTACTTCTAAAATGTCGGTGCAAAGTCGGTAGTTTTAATTTCGAGTTTGTTCAATTAAAAAACAAAGGTTAACAGAAATGTGTCTTTAGTGGATTGGATAGGCAAGAAAGAAAAAGATAGGTAGAAAATATCGGGCCTATATCTACTGGCAATCTTATTATAATTATATTTTTACACCATATGGTTTTTGTGAGCATCATCCATTTTTTTTTAAAATAAAAAATCCCACAAATCTGCGGAAATTAATTTTCCTTTTTAATGATTAGGCCTACTTGACGTTAAGAGCGTTCACATTGTAAGATTAGCCTACTTAACTATAACACGTGATGTACCACTGTGAAATTATTATCTACCTATTCAAATTAATTAAGTCGCCTTTTGATGTTGAGCATCACTACATCAATTTCAGAAACGTTAGCTGTAACTTCCGGTTTAAAATGACAGGTTCGCAGTGGATTTTGAAGTGGTTGATGCAAATTGTGGAATCGAATCTCATCAGAGACGAAAGTTAATTGGCTCGTTATAAATTCCACATGTTAAAAGATGTAATAAAACGAAACGAAATGTGTTTAACGGTATTCGCCAGATTGGACGGTAACTAGGCGTGACGTCAGTTCCTTTGTAAATAAATATTTTAATTTAAAGTGACAGTTCCCTGTAAATTCTGACCACTCTTTCCGATTGCTTTGATTAACTTAAGAATAGTTTATGTCCATTTTGGTGGTCAATTTTCTTCTTTGATTTATTTCTAAAGTTTTTATGTCTCAGACTTAAGTCCATGGGTTTTGAAAAATGTTGCCTGTGAATCTATCACCCTCTACGTACTGTTTCATGAACTAACCTTGTGGTCAGTTTAAGCTTTTTGTATCCCTCCCGATTTTTATTGCCTACAGCAACCCTCACCCCTCATCAACTATAATAAGGGGCCAATGACAAAAAAATAATTTTTGTTAATTTAGCTGTAGATGTCAGAGTCATGCGTTAAGAACAGTTGACGCTTTCCAGACCTCAGATTGTGGGGTGAATTAATTAAAAATAAATAATTTCCTGATATTTTTAGCAAGAAACGAAAGATGTTTTAACAACCGAGTTAAAACGGGAAGCTTTTATGGAGGTTTCTGATTTCTTTATCGAATCATATCAGACGAAATCAGCACACTGGTGTCACAACATTGATTGATGCGGCCAACATGTGGCTATGATTTATCTCCCTTTATTTGACTCGGACACCCAGAAATCTAATTATTAAATGAGATATATAATTAAAGTGGAGGCAAGAAAATGAAATTTGAGGCCTATCAGGTAGCTTGGTTCGTCAGGAAATAAACGTCGAATCACACTTTTTCTTTTATCTGGTGTAATTAGTTGAATTAAGATACGTGGAATGATAAAGTGAATTAAATTCTCAAGTTGGTGGGCCAGGCTGATTTTTTATCCTGATGGTTTGAGACATTTATTTTAAAGGTGCTCTACCACATAAATAAACACAGACATAGAAACCTGGGATAACTTCCTTAAAATTTCAATCATTTAGACCGAAATTTAAATATTAAAAAAAAAGATAAATACATTATATTCTGTTAAAAAAACTAATTAATGACTGACAGCTTCAATTAACAAATTTTTATACAATATTTTTGTGGAAAATTATTTTTAACGAAACGAAAAATATTTCCATGAAATTCTAATTACAGGAAATTGCAGATTTTGGTGTTTTGTTTCTTATATTTCCTGCTAGAAAACATCCATACAAAATTTAATGACATTAATTTGGAATTTATATTCAAACCCGAATGAATATTTATGTATTCCAAACTTTTTTAGTGACCCAAATAATTCAATTTTACTTTAATTTGAAAATAAACAGCCAAAATAATATTTTCTAGCTATGTGTTGTTTTTTTATTTACAAACATTAGTATTTATTCGTTTTATTTTATTGTAAAGTGTAGAATTTGAGTGGACCTAATGTAGACCAGGTTAGCGATATATACCAGGTTTCCGGTCTAAAAGTGACGGCTTGTATTTAAACAAAACACATTACATTGCATAGTAATATCAACAAATTCTAGTTTATTTGACCTAAAATTCGTTCCAGACCATGAACAGTAAATTTCGTTTGTACAAAGCAATACCCACAAAGCATCTCGAGCAGTGATGGCTCCTAAAAGGGGGTCCAAAAAGTCCGAAGAAAATATTTTCTTTTGTGGAAATATGCATTTTTTCATTACACTGCATCGGGTGCAGGATTTAAGCCCATGATCCACCCCCTCCTTTTACAGTGTCAACACAGCGCTGCATTCGATTGTTTTTTTTTATATAATGATTTCAAGAAACCGTTTTGTTATTTCTACAGTTACGAAACATTTCACTGAACGATGCAGGGCTTTGCTGAAATATTGCGTATGTTGGCGTCTACTTTCAATATATAATAAATATCCGTACAAACATAACAATGTTTTTTGAAAATTGAGAACGCAGTTTTTCCGAGTAGTCCGTTATTAAAACGTTTCTTAGTGTTTTGTTATTACCAACTGAAAGAATTGTCATTTCAATAGGCAGACAAAACGTTTCGTGAAATCAGTTTTATCAAAACGCCAAAACGGACCAATTGAACGCAGGGCAAGGCTAGTATTTGATCTATACCCTTTCCACTATCATAGACTCATATCTCACATGTATAAACGTTTATTATGTAACTCGCGTCCTACATATGGCGGAATAAAAAGAATGATTTTAGGGTAGCCTGGACTATTCTAACCATAATAAAGTGCAGTTTGCTTGTGTCAAGATGTCACTGAGAGTTTAATTTGCGACGAAATAACATTGGAATAAAATATAATTGCATTTTAACATCCGAAGATCTAGTAACGAGGTCACCAGTATATCACCACACGTGCATTCTATTTCCGACTCGCGGTATTTATTAACTTCCTAATTGCTTGCTAACCGTTCGTTTGTTTACCTTTCAAATAAATGTGATGGTTTTATTTATTTGGGTAGCTAGCTAGGTAGTTAATTTCTATGTTTATTATTCCATACACAACATGTTTTATATTGGAGCTAGCTAGATCGTAGTTTATCATACATTGGTAGACATAAGCCCCTAGCTCGGTATTATAATGATCGTGGTTTATGATACACTGATGGACACATATAAAGTTCTGAGGTTAGGTTGTGTGAGGTAGGGTTAGCTAGCTAGGTTAGGGTAGGTAGGTAATTTTCTGGTTATTATTCCATACACATGTTTTGTTTCAGGGCGAGCACAGATCGAAGCTTATCATAAACTAGTTGACATATAAGGCTCTAGGTAGAGTGAGTTTGTGTTGGGTTAGGTTGTGTTAGGTTGGGTTGTGTTAGGTTAGGTTAGGTTGTGTTAGGTAAAGCAAGGTTTATAATAGAAGCGAGAACAGATCATAGTTTATCATACGTCAGAAGACACATTAAGCCCTTGTTTAGGTTCTGTTAGGTAAAGTTGTGATGGGCAAGGTTTTATTAGGTTAGGTTGTATTAGGTTAGGTGGATTTATGTTTTGCTTTTTGAATAAAATAAAGAAACCTCACAGCGAAACAAGACGTTCTGTGAAAGCTGTTCTATAAAAAGGCTGTATATTGCACACGTGCTGGTTGTTTACTGACTCTAGATTAAACATAATAAACTTTACTATACAAAATGTCTTCTTTGAATAGCGGTACAACACTACTCCGTTACTCAATGTGATCTCTACACATAAATACCCCCTGCGCCTGTGCCCTTTTTTTTTAAATGCAATATTACAACCTTTATTCCCCAATGTCGCTAAGGATTACAAAACTTCTCCTTATAAACCCTGGTCACACCATACCAGAACAGAACTTCAAACTTCAGTCGGGGCTTTCTGAAAACATATTTGTATAAACTGATATCCCGTGTGCCAAAAGGAGTAAAATTTTGGATTATGAAAAAATTTTGGATTATGAAAAAATTTTGGATTATGAAAAAATGGCACATATGAAAAATGTGGAAAGTTTCTAATAAATAGTTTTAGTGTATATTTTTTTTGTCAATTTTCAAAAATTAATTTTGCCTAAAAAGCAATATATTCATTACTTAATTTTTATAAATTCTTTTTTTTTCTACTTTCAGGTTTGGTTTCAGAATCGCCGAGCAAAATGGCGAAAACGTGAACGATTTGGTCAGCTACAGACGATGCGAGCCATGGCTACAGCGGCTACCCATGGGTACGACATGCAACTCGGACCCCGACACGACGCTTACTCTCAGGTTTGTCTTCAAGTAATTTTGAAAAATTTCAAAAATGTACTTCCGTTGCCCCTTTCGTCGTTTAATTTCAGGAATAATATTATTGCATTCTGTAATAACAATACACCTTTCCAGCCACAACCTAAATACTGGTGAAAAATAATAAATTAATAAAGTTTTTGAATTAATTATTAAAGTTCTAATTGAAAATATCATAATTTAGCAGTCTGAAGGTTTTTCTAAAAGTTTTTAACATTTTTAAATTCAATTTTTATGTTACGTTATTGGATTATATTTTAACGTTCTAAAAGTTTTAAATCTACAATCTAAAATTTATGATTTAACGTTCTAAAATTTATAATTTAACGTTCTAAATTTATAATGTAATGTTCTAAAATTTATAATGTAACGTTCTAAAATTTATCATGTAACGTTCTAAATTTATAATGTAATGTTCTAAAATTTATAATGTAACGTTCTAAAGTTTATCATGTAACGTTCTAAATTTATAATGTAATGTTCTAAAATTTATAATGTAACGTTCTAAAATTTATCATGTAACGTTCTAAATTTATAATGTAATGTTCTAAAATTTATAATGTAACGTTCTAAAGTTTATATTGTAACGTACTAAAATTTATAATGTAACGTTCTAAAATTTATAACGTAACGTTCTAAAATATATAACGTAACGTTCTAAAATATATGATTTAACGTTTTGAAATGTTATAATTCTTAAGAAATATCCCAACACTCTTAATCATTTCAATTATCAACACACAGAAAATATGTTTTAAGGTTTAAACTAAAAAAGTGCTTTTTAAAAACAGTTTTTCACTTGTTCGCTCAATAAAATTTCATTAATATGTTTTAAAGTTAACCAAATGTTATTTGCAGCGATATACCTGTACATTAATCATGATAAAACGCAAGAATTTTTTTCCGCGAAGAGATCTCAAGTGATGATGATGTAGGAAGGAACAAATGTTGAGATAAGAAACTAAAAACAAAAAGAAACCCCCTAAAAAACAACAGCAAAATAATCTTGTTGGTATTTTTGCTTCTCGCTCTCACATGTTTTACGTGCTTTTTATGAAGAATATTGTTCTCTTGTATTCCTCTTTCCACCTAGCGGAAATATCACAGCTAGAAATCAAACCCTCATAGATTGACCTATCCTGATCCGATCACTAGTTGTTGTATAACTCTCGAATTCCCAGTAATCAAAGATAAATATCAAGAGAAAATAGATAGGATCATCTTCACAATGTCAAGCTTTTACAAATTTCGTCTTATACCTTGACAGCAAAGCCATATTTCTTGTCACAGAAATTTGTAAATGCAGCGATTTGATGGGATTTTACGCCAGCGAGTACAGCCAATCAGAGTCCTCGACAGAAAGGCTGTGAACAATATGGCATATGGTTTACAGACTTTCTGTCGAGGGCTCTGATTGGCTGTATTCGCTGCCATCCAACCCAATCAAATTGCTGCTACTTCCGTGATACAAGAAAGGTGGATATTGAAGTTAAGGTATAAGACGCAGTTCGCAATAGCTTGTGAAGATGGAGTCACACGTGTTGTCGAGCTGTTGTCTCGCTATATATTCGCGTCTGACACTACATCCCTTTCTGATAAATATTCTCTGTTGGAATAAATCAACCGTCAATTGAGAAGAATTCGGAACAGACTTGGGAATACACCGAATATCTGAATATGTTGCCGAGATTATCGTGAATTATTCCACTAGACCACTGGAGTATCGTATAGATATTACAATTGATCCGATTCCTAATTCATATTCCTGACGGATCAGAGACTATCATTACAACATGGTGAAAGGAACAGATTTTCTTTTAGATCAATCGATTTCAATTCTATTTATTCTTGACGGATCTAAACGTTCCAGAATGTATATTTTAACGTTCTAGAATTAACAATTTAACGTTCTAAAATGTATAATTTAACGTTCTAAAATCTTAATTCAACGTTCTAGAATTCACAATTTAACGTTAAAATATATAATTAAATGTTCTAAATTGTATAGTCTAATTTTATGAAATTAATTGAAATCAATAGTTAACCGATCTATAGTTGTAATCTAACGTTCTAAAATTGATAGTTTAACGTTCTAGAAACCATAATTTAATGTTCTAAAATCAATGTGAGATCTAATGATCAATAATTCAACAATTTGAAAAATATCGTTCGACTTTTTAAGATGTATAATTTTACGTTTTAAATTTATTATTTAACGTTCTAAAATTTATTATTAAATGTTCTAAAATTTATTATTAAACGTTCTAAAATTTATGGTTTTACGTTCCATAATTATGATTAAATATAACGGTCGAAAATGCGAGATTTGATATCTCATTTAAAGTTCTAATATCTATGATTCAGCGTTCTTTGATTTATAGTTTAACTTTCTTAAATTTATGTTTGTTTCTTATTTCAATAATTAAAAGTTTTAAAATATACAAGTTCACGGGCGAAAATCATGAAAACTGAACAATATTCAATTATACTTTTAAGCCGGTGACTTATTTGGATATGCATGTTATATGTTTTAATTTTAATCTCGTACACTTTACTATACGGGATAAAAACTTTCGTAAATTTTGAATTATTATGAAAAGGAAAGGGGTTCTCACACCATAGCGGTTTTTCGAACGCAACTCTCATGTAAATGAATTGTGAGTTGCGTTCGATACTCATAACACTTCTACATTATTAGGTGATTATCGCTAGAGTGTGAGAGCGCCTTAACACAAAAATATTTTCGTTTCTTCGTGTTTTACGCTCGTATCTAATACTATTTCAAAGTCGTAGACTCCATTGACTCGCTAAAATTCCGGACCGTCTCGAAGGAAGAGGGTTAACAATATTATTTCGTTTAACAATGTTTCATCATTCCATAATTTTAATAAACAATAGATTTCTCTGTTTTTATTACAAGATTTAACATATTGTGTTTACCCCCACGTGTCTCATAAAAATATCTTATATAAATTTTCACCTAATTTTTCCATGACTTTATCATTCAGAATGTTGTCAGCTCTGTGAGAAAAAATATAAAAATCTAATTTTACATTTTGCAACCACCTTTAGCCTGACCTAATTCACTTTGCTTTGATCTGTAGTTAATGAAATTGTCGAAGCACATAATATACGGAATTTACAATTATGCACCATATTGGATACGGCGGACAAAGTAGGCTGATATTTATTCGACAAAATCATTGTGCAATAACGAATATTTTGCAAATACATCTTCATTAGCCTAGGACGATTTCTAACGTCTTAAAGCCATGTGCACATGAGTTCTCGGTTTATTGTCCGAACACTGGCAGTGAAGCCTCGTTGAAATATTCAAATTGTCTCAAAACCGACAAACCGTTAATAAAATATCTTGTCTTTTTCAGATGCAACATAATCCGTGGGCTCAGAATGGACCAGCTCAGTATCCCATGACAACCATGCCAGGAATGGGGAGCTCCTGTATGGCCGGACAGAATGATTTACCAAACTTTATGGGATTAGCTCATCAAAATTCGCTGGCAGCCAATCAATTTGCAGCAAATCAGCTAGCAGCCAATCAATTCGCTGCGGGTCAACTAGCAGCCAATCAGCTTCATAGTCAACGCTCTACAGGGGGAATAACTCACAGTAACCATAGCCCAATGGCTTTTCCTAATGCTCAAGTTGGTTTAGACGCCGGGATGGACCCGGAGCTACGAAGTTCAAGTATAGCAGCGCTAAGATTAAAGGCAAGAGAACACAGTGTCTCGATGGGACTTCTAAGTGCTTATGGAAAATAAACTGAAGTTTTTGTTCCAAAAGACGTTTTCATAAATATGTGCTTCATTTATTCGTTAATTTGTTTGTTATTTTGTTATTGATGCTCACTTGTTGTCAAATCTTTCAATGACTGGAAAAACGAAACTTTAAATGACTGGAAAAACAAAAGTTGTAATGACTGGAAAACCCAGACTATTTGGGACTGGAAAGTCTGGAAAAAACTAAATTTCAGTGACGTGATAATCCTATCCACCAGGAACCATACGTATACGTAGACAACTGCGAAACTGTTCTCGTTTGTCCTGTTATAAGTCACCGCATCGGCACCCTTTCCACCATTGATTACCGACTAACTATTAAACTGAAAGAAATTAAAGACAATTAAAACTAAGAACATTTGGTAATAATAGCCAACCCAGCAGTTTACAGCAGTTTAAACTGATTAGATAATAACACTTCAACATTGTTTCGTTTCCAGTTAGTTATCACTTCATATTTTAATGTAGCTTCGTTTCATGTTGAGATATTTTCAAGTTGTTGAGTAATTTTATCGCAGCCGTCCTCTCGTTCTAAAGTGTCGAATGCAGGAATTGAAGTATATTTAAAGTAGATTTTCGTAGAGTGTTGCACCTAAAATCTGTCTGTCTGTTCACAGCTGGGAAAAAAACAGCTCGTCGTTATTTCCAAATTTTAAAGTGCCTTCAAAATGGAGTAGGCCTATTTGTGCTTCCGGGATACCTGATGCCAACGGCTCGTTCTATCGTTCAGACTAAATTTATGAGTAGGCTACAGTTTTTTTCTGATGATGAGATACCTTTATGAACAGTTTTGGTGATAATCTGTCCATTCGGAGAACCAGATGTCTGCTACTACAAGACTGTATTTTCGTCTCTGGTAATTTTCTATTATTCCGGAGATGGCTTTTTAAATTGTAGCTAGCGTATTTAGAGGGTGGGCCATTTAGCCATGTCCCCACCCCCTTCATGCCTGTGGAAGTCATTGGATTACTTCAATATTAACAATATATGGACGGTTTTACCCCTGAGTACAAGCGAAACAAGTATGTTAACTGTTGACTAAGTGCGGACAAACAAACGTAGGGCTAGCATTTCCCTGATTTTCCTGATTTCTCGAGAAATTAAAAAACTTAATAACATACCCTGTAAGTCCCGATCTATGACTGTATGCTAGTAATGAAATGTATTATTAAAGTTATTGTATATAAAACGTATACCTATCATCGTTGTAATTAAAGATATTTAATGTCTCTCGTATTTTTCAATCATCGTTAAACCACGAGTTTGGGGGTGGGGGGAGGGAGAGAATGGGGTTTGGGGTAACCATATTCACAATGTCAAAATTGAAAATGATGGGCTAATGAAGACGGGCAACGCCATGCAGGGTGCAATGAGGGAAATTTTGCCAGGACACCGGCAAAAGCCTCCTCTTTTTCGATTTCCAACTGTAGAGGGGTCTTAAACGTGCACAGCCTGTAGTACACGGGGCCTCGGATTATTGTCCTATCCGAACGACTAAACGCTTTTCCATGTCCGCCCCTCTTACCTGCATCACTGACAGGGGGAAACTGGGTTGAAAAATCCAAAGATATCATCTCGGCCTATGTCGTGATTGAACCCTAGACCCACTGAACCCTTAGGTTAGCGAGAAAGCGTCTAACTCACTGAGCCATCACAATGTCAAGCTAGTCGAAAGTCGTAGATCTAATAGCTTGATATTGTGAAGCTGGGGGTAACTACAACTACAACTCCCAGCCTTGTCCCGTCTTCCTAAATATGTAGTAAATGATATATTTGAAGAAGGTTGTCGCTATTTTTTTTTTAAAAAATCAGTTGTAACAATACCATGGGTTGGAGGAGACAAGGGGGGGGGGGGGGGGTGACTAAAATATAAATTTAATGTCACTCTCATTCTTTAAGACACGTCTTCGCAAAATGTGTAGCACTCAGTACGATATTTATGTTTTTTATAGTAGTTCTGGGGAACTTTTACATATATTCAAGACCCAATCAACCCCCAAAATGGCGAATTCGTCCCTTTAAATTTAATGATTCTGACAGTCTGTAGGATTCTGAAAAAATATTAGAAATTTACTTGTAGTCTGTCGTATAAATAATCACACAAGTTGCCTCCCCTCCCCTCTTACGTTTTAATGATTTCAATGAATTTAATCAAATCTATTGGCATGCGTATCAGTAATACTAATAACATCAGCTATTTAACTTATTTTGCACATTGCCTGATTTCCAACTCCACGTATTTGATTCCTGTAATTTTAAGAAAACCATACAATTCAAATGAATAATAGTTAAACAAATAAGAACACTATTATATATATACTACTACTTCCTTTAATTTTAACAACGTTTCGATTAACATACTGGAATCTTTATCAAACACAAAATGAGGATAATGATGAATAAAAGAAGTAGTCTAAGAGTCCCGGATAATTTAAAAACCTCTTGTGAATCTCTGTGAATGCTTTACTAGAAGTTTACTACGTGACAACAAATCTCGCTGTAGAGGGACTACCATACAAACTGTAAATACGAGCACGAATATTGAAAAATCAGATTTCAGTGTCCCCGATACACATAAACAGTTAAGTAAGGTGATGTATAATACGAAGATCGAAGATAGCAGATCTGTATAATCGGAAGATCGCAGACCCTATACACTACCGTTAAGTAAACCTCTTTACAATCTCTGTAAGTTACGATTCAACAGGCTACTGACTAATAAACATATAATAAAGACTGTAAGCATTCTATATAAATAGTGTATTCTCTGTATTTCAATAGACGATATTTTGTATCGTTCCATTCCTTTCATTGAACAATAATAGATATGTTTTGTAGTGATTTCCTTTCAATAAATAACAATAATATAACTTTTATATTTTCTATACTGACTAACTTATATTAAACACCAGAACGATATTGAAGTATATTTGTCAGTTTTATATCGTATATGGATGTTTAAAACATAAACTTTTTAAAGTAAAGAATGATATTAATATATAAGGTATTTATATTTTGATATTTTATTTAATCATCTATTAGGGTGGAGGGGGGGGGGGGGGGTACATGAGGGAAGACTAAAGACAATATAGGCACTGAGATATATTTGTCGGTTTTATCTTTGTTTAAGACATAACCTAGAATGATATGGTATTCATATTTTGATATTATGTATTATGTATTTTTGACTAATACTGAGATTATAGAACGATATAGGACTCGAGGTATATATTTTGGTTTTATTTATCATAGGTTTCCTATAATATTATACTATATATCTGGGTTTTTAAACCATATACGGTAATAGATATTTTCTTGATATTTATGAATCAGAAAATGTATTTTTGCGATTTTTAAAACGAAAGTGTAAAAGAAAATTGAAGATTGAAAGTAAATAGATATTCAACTGTTCTATAACGAAGTATGTTGGTAAAACTAAACCAATTCCTGTCTCTCTTATTCGTTATATTGTCACTCCAAGTCTGTAATCTAATAATACATGTTGCCGCTAGGTTGGAATTGTCCAGAATAAAATGTAAGAGGTTGGAATATTATCAGGAAAGAAAGTAAACTTGACCATCTGTCTGTTAGTTCTATAACAGTGTAAACATATCATATAGATACCCATTTATAGCATATCGTGATTGGTAAAATCTACCTTAGTGCGCATGTTATTATCTCTCAACAGTCTAACATGCCGCACAAATCTAGGATACAATATTCTTTTATATACTGTATGTAGTGTTTGAAATTCTTCTACTAAATTTGTACTTATTATTCAATGACATTTGGAATAAACGATGGTACAGACATAAGACATTATTTCCACTTGGCGATGTGAAAAGCATTTTGTTCCTCTATTTTCTAGATAATCACCAAAACTGAACACTGTCTCTCATCTCATTCTAGTCTTATGCTACAGGCTGTGCACGTTCAAAATATCTCGACAGTTGGAAATCGGAAGAGAGTAGGCAAATGCCTGACAAATATCTCTCATTGTACACTGCATGGCATTGTCCTTATTCATTAGCCCATTAGGAGCAGTACAGTTGGACATTTCATTTTTTCCTTCACTGTTTTTTTGTGTGCATCATAACAGATACCCCATGGAAAGATGTAAAAAAACCACAGGAGTAACATCTTCACAATGTCCAGGTATAAAGAACTTTGTCTAATACCTTGACTGCAATAGCCACCTTTATAAGACGAAGGTTCGAAAAAGCTTGACATTGTGAAGGTAGGTGTTACTTCCCATCAATATTTTTGGCCTCGTATACGAAGAATGTTTGGAGCTATCTTCCAAGACCGATACTGATTCGGAGGAAAGTTTAATTATATTATCTATTACTATAATCATAGGTTGTATTAATTATTAATTTATATTACAGTTTAATTCTAGATATTGATAGTTCCGCGGTGTAATAACACGTCAATCAACACAACATATCATTCTAATCAGCACGTTCTCAACAGACGACATACAAACATCATAGATCGTTAGCAACTAGCGAGAGTTTGAAACCTTTCCGGTCTGCGCTATTTTCGGACATGATCTTTTTATTTACAGATCGCCATTGACTTAAGATAACCATTTATAGCAGAGGCTATAACTGAACATGTTAACTTCCGTCGTGGACACATCAAGTACACAGAAAACATAAATAGACCATGCAACCAAAATAGATGCTGATGATATTACACCGACGCATTCGTTAGAATCTTCGTCTATATCAGGAACGTTCAGACTGTTTGCAGATTTCGTGACCAAATGGAAATCTTGACATAACGACATGTATGTAGATACTTGAGCTATTTTAGGAAGATTTTATACGTTGTTCGATCCTCGCTGACAAACCCGGATCATTCTAACAGATAGGAAATAGTTTGCGTGTGCACGAATTTGGAATTGATGGTTACGGTTGTTTGGTGTTCGAATGCCTATTGATCTTATATCAGTTTACTCGTGCGTTTTAACAAGTGACCTAATTAGTTGTATGATGTGAATTAGATGTAGTGAAATATGTTGGATTTCTGTTATAGATACCACGATAGAGTGGTCAAGTTATATTATATTTAATTACCTTTGGAAAGGTATTGGATTCAAAATGTCAAGTGTGACGTCAGGATCATTCCGACCAACCACAGCTCCAGGTTTGAGGAAGCATCGCTTCCGCCAAGGGCGACAACCCAATTTATTCAGAAATAGGTCACAGTCCAATCCTGATATATTGACTGCCTTAGAAAGACAATCGACCCACTCTTACAAGTTCGGTTATGCTGGACCGTATTCTACCCCTTCTAATCTCATAGAACTAAACGCAGTCAAACGCAGAGCTTCAAAATGCAATCCGATGCCATTAGTGGAGTTACCAGATCCGACCAAGGTTGTAAGAGAATGGTCGCAAGAACAGTACAAAAGGATCAAACGGAACCGACCAAAGTTGCCGATGATTGCCGATACTTCACGAAGGTCTTCCGAAATATCCCGAAGAGGAAGCGATGGGTTGTATGACGCTTTTCCGGAATCTGTCGAACGAGATTCAGATAAGGTTAAACAGGTAAGAGCCTACGTTAAATTCATAATTGGATTTATAACCAGGGATATCGGGGAGTATAAATTGTATTGTAGTAGATTACAGATTTTATATATGAAGGAAACACATGTACTACTGCGAAATGCAACTTGATTTTGATGAATAAATTCATGTTTTTTGACATACATTATATATATAAGAACATGTCTCGTATTGTCGATGTTTACATATCCATATCAATCGGATGATGGTTCGACCATATACGTTATTACATTCCTGCTACAATTGATAGAATATGTATCTTGTTATTTTAATACTTACTTATTACACTTACTTGATGCTGAAGAATTGCTATTTATTTATTTTACCCCTTATTAATTGGTATTTCCCATAATAAAGAAGCTTTCTCTAAAATTTTTAACACAATGTTTCGTATGATCATTCAGACAGTGTTATTTTTCTTACCAAGGTTCGGACGTTTCGCTGGTACGCTACAGTAATAAAGGCAGTCAGTAAACTGGGGTTAGATATGCAGAGATTATCTATCAGGTTATCGGAACAGGTGCCCCTCTCTGACATGTTTTATATGCCAATGAAACAACCAGACGAAGAAGAAGAAGGGTCCAAGTTATTTTTTGATAAATCTTGGTTTTCTCGAGACAGGGCGGTAAGTAACGTTTCGATTTTGTTACCTATTCATGTCAATTTCAAATTCAGTCTACCATATTAAGCTATATCTACAAAATCTTAAGCATCAGGCGTTGTGGAAGTTGACGTTTTTTTTTTCAGATCTCGAAGGTTCCACTGTGGGCCCAGACTATCACGATCAGAAAGCCAGAAGAAAGAACGAAAGATGAGATAAAACGACTTCATGATTTATTGATGGGAATGCAGAGTTTCCGAGAGAAATTTACAGAGAAAGCTCGAGTTAAGATCTGCCAATACATGAGATACACAAAGTAAGAAATTTTAGTAAAAATTTAATACTGTAGCATTAACGTATTGGTCCATCTAAAAGAATTCAAATTACGACAAATATCAATATAAAACTCGTTCTATAAAACACCTTTATCTATACTTTAGATGTGGTCGAGGTCGAGTTGTATTAAGACAGGGACACGAGGGAGAAAATGTTTATTTTATTTTTGCTGGGTCTGTCATGATTCAAGTAGAAATGGAGGATAAAAATGGAAAGATTTTCTCCACCACAGAAAATGTCATCAAAGCTGGGTCCAGCTTTGGGGTAAGTTATATTTTGGCAGAGAATTGAGTGAAAAGCCAGTCGAATTTGGATATTTGTATAGAAACGTTTTGATTTGAGTAGGATTCGAACCTGCAGCACTTAATCAATGGCGGTAAAAAAAAGGGCGAGTCACCTAGAAAACAGGTTTATCCCCCTAAAAAAAATTTTATTTGCAGACATTTTCGCCCCAAAATATGTGTCAGAACGCACAAAAGCTCCCTGGGAGGATTCCGCCTATAACATTTACATAAAACTGCCGCAACTAGCAATCTAACTATTTAAGATTTATGCTGAAAGATGAAGGGTTGTAACTCATGTCATGTGTTTTCAAATCAGACCACACCGAGATAATATGGAACAAGAATAAAGGTTATACCAGTATTTTTTGGCCAAGGACCAGCTGGTAGACAGGATCCTAAAGAACCTGAATTATTTCTTTTCCAGGAAGAATCTCTAACAGGCGATGGTCTACGATCAGCTACCATTATTGTAAAAGATCCGGCTGAGTTTTTTCATATCGACGGAGAAATATTTCTTTCAATTTGTCCTGGTCATATTGAATCACAGATTCGACGGAAGATGAAATTTGCTGAGTATGTTTATTGTATATTTTCAGTTTACATACTTGTATTTTCTGCAATTACACCGTTTTATGTGTTGTTTGTTTGTCGGACACGTCTGTGGTTTTTCAGTTCCTCTAAAACTAAGAATGTTGTGTTTCTGTGCTGTGTGTTATCTCAAAGGCTCTTTTATGTTATAAACAGCTTTGCAATAGTGGTGTCACAGGACATTTGGTCTTGTTGGAATTGCAGGAACCACAGACGTCTGACTGAAAATTAGAAAGATGCAAATTGATGCTATCAGTGTCCAAGATACACATAATTTTTTTAGAAAACCTCTTTACAACACTTTAAAAGTGTCGTGATTTTTGTGGAATTGCAGGAACCACAGACATCGGACTGAAAATTGGAATGGTGCAAATTGATGCTATCGGTGACAGTGTTCCTGATACACATAAGATATAGATAACCTCTTTACAATCCCTTTTAGATTAATATAATGACTGCTGTAAAGTTTATAATGTATTTGTTATATAAGTTTACTATAATTCTAGAAAGTTTGAGATATTCCGGTCTCTGGAACAGGAGGCTGTAAAAGATGTTATATTCCGGTCCCAGGTTATTAAAATGCCCCATGGTCGAGTTCTAGAAGAGGATTGGTCCAAAGCTAACTTTGTTTACTTTGTCTTGAAGGTGGGTTATTCAGTACATCTGTGTCAGATTTTATACAGCTGACGAGGGCAATATCTATATTTATTTATATTTATTCGGTATACTTGGAAATGTCTATAGAACCCATCCACAAAGGCTCGTAGCTAGACTTGTTCGGAAGAGACAAGTAATGTATCCGAAGAGACAAGTAATGCATCCGAAGAGGCAATGGTGTATAGTGTTAAGTTGCAGTAAAAGTAATGGTCGGTTGTCAGAAATTTTAAGGGAGGTAATCCATTTTTCGGGACACGATAATTTCGTTTGAGGTTGATCCAAGAGTTTATTTCAGGGAACCATAAAACTGTATCGCAATTTTGATGTGACGGCCATTCTGAAAGATATGGACGACAGTATAGAAGATATATTGGAAACCCAGGTGGCGCTGAAGAGACTGGTGGAAGATGGGATAGGTCAAACAGAACAGATGGCGCTGGTTGGAGCTCTTCAAGAAGGAGATTATAGTGTACGTATTGAAATGGAGTTTTAGTCCTACATTTCTGCACCATGTGGGCTAATGAAGACGGGAAACGCCATGCAGGGGGCAATGAGGAACAATTTTGGCAGAACAGCGGCATTAGGGATCTTTAACCTGCACAACCTGTAGCACTCCCATGTGTCCTTTATGATATAATTCATTCGAATTTCAGGATCTTTACATCTTATCCACTGACAGCAGTTTAGCTTTATCACCTGTTAAAATGGTCAGCCAAGGAGCGGAAGTGCTCCGTGTCTCACTGCGCATCTTCCGGAAAGTCATCACCAAGAAGGATATTGGGAACTATTTAACAGATAAATATGTCCAACACAAGTAAGTATTTGTTTGGGGTGTCAAAACGTAGAAAATTGGTATGGGGTGGGCACCAAAGAACTTGATTTTTAAGCCGGGCTGTTTAAGTAGACGGCGTAGGCCCTCTTGTTATGTAAATTTTTCAAAAACAGTCCGATTTTCAAAATAATGTACTCTTTATTACGAATATGATCCAAATGTTCTCTGTAAATTGGTGTATATTGATGCATTAAGAGGTACAAAAAGTCGAGTTGTTTTGCGTTCTACACTGGACAGAAAGTTTCGACCGTGGTCTAATGATAGCTGAAGCTAATTAACGTTCTATGACCGACTCATTATTCGAGAATTAACCTTAAGATTATACTGGTTGTAATGAGGGTATGACCGGTATCAATGCTTGGTTTGTCGGTCATTTTGTGTGGGTTTGCGTGTTTGACGGGGGTGGGAGAGGGGGTGCAAACTCTTTTGAAACATAATACAGGCCATTACTTAGTATATTTTACTCCCATCTTGTAGTTTCTTCAACACGCCAGATACATGTTTGTATCGTCTTTCACCTTAATGCATCTACTCTTGTTAGAGACCGATACACGTACTATTTGGATAAAATGAACAAAGATTCCATTATTATTATTAATAAGGGGGCGTGGTTTAAACGAAGACGACTGTCACTCTTAAATGTCTTTTAAATTGTCTATAGTGACTGATATAAGGTTACCAATATTAATATTTCAGTATCCCCACCGAGGTGGAGTTAGCTAGAAGGTTTATAGAGAATGCTCATTGGGAGAATTATAGAAAGCGGGTGATTAACGTGGTAGACAGGGTACATGGTGGGGAATTACTGGCCACTATCCCAGCTACAGCAAAAGGTACCAGCGGGTGGGCGAGGTGGCCGGGTTATACAGTCGACCAGAAATACAATCAAGAGGAAGACGACAGTGTTTTTATTGAACCTGAACATAAACCGAAGGTAGGCTGGTTTGATCTATCTTCACAATGTCTAGCTTTTACTAACTTATACCTTGACTGCAACAATCACCTTTCTTGTGTCACTTTATAAATGCACCAATTGGATTAGATTGTACGCAAGCGAATCTTAAGCTTCTTTTCTCGCATATGATCATTACTCTTGCGAACGCAGACAAAGGGTTGTAATTCATGTAAATCTAAAAGGTCCTACCCTTGATAGAATACAATTTGTGTATAACATTCCAAGAGAGTTAGTGATATAAGCACAACATGATATGGGTTTGTAACATTGCTTAAAGTAAATACTAAAAATTGAATGATTTCTGATTTGATTTAATTGTAGATGGATACATTCTATTTCATCAGACAACCTAAACCATCTCGAGTTAAACGATTGGCTGAAATAGAAAATCGGCACCGGAAGAAGAAAGATAGACCAATAGGGTTGACGCCAGCGGAAGAAAATGTTAAAATTGACGTCACAGATGGACCACGTGTTGTAGTGGACAACCCGCGAACATTTTTAAGGAAACCCCCGCCCAGTAAACCCCCAATTCAACTTTTAAAAGAAACAACTTGAACTTCATTGCGGAAAGAAAGCTTTTGAATGTCATCATAGTAGAATGTTGTGTGATCTTTGAGACCCTATATCTTATAAAATATTACTATCAATTGTGTCGTATTTCAAAAAGTAAATTTCCACAATCAAGACAAAATCAAATCGTAAGATTTTTGGGGAAACAGGGCCCAGACCCTAATTCTTTTGAATTTAAAGAAAGATTTTCTGGGCGGATGTTTTTATTTTATATGTGTGGCATGACAAACCACATTAATTGTGTTTTAAGTTTAGTTTAGTCTCTTACAATCTTATTCAAATGCGGGTTTCGTATTTTTGCTGAAGATTACTCCACTTGCCATTCGTGATCTGTCGAGATTTTTCTTTAAATCGTGTTCTGTGGATTTTAGACCAAATAGCATAAAAAAGAAATCCAAGTTTATGTTAACCAATCAAAAAACACTGGTTAAATACCGATATCAATCAAAATATATCCCATAATTCCTTTCGTAGTGTAAGGAAGTCGTTTTATTACTTAGAACATTGTATAGGTTGAATATCAAAGAGACTGAATTACAGGAACCACAGACATCTGATTGAAAATTGGAATGGTGCAAATTGACGCTATCAGTGTTTATACATTTAGAAAATAACCTTACAATCCCTTTAATTAACCTTGAACATGAGATGCATAACAAGTTCGTAAGATCATGGATGCCAAGTGAAGTAACAATCAGAAAAAAAAACATGAGACAGAGTGACATATTTATCTACAAGAAAATTTAGGATCTGAGTTTATTTTGGTCCATTTTTTTTACCCCAGTCACTGAGCTCACGTGATCCAAACTATGTTAGAAGTAGGATCTTCACACGAGATAACACGAGACCGGAAATGAGATTATTATTTGATACATGTTAATTTCCGGTAGACAGAAGATACGAGATAAAGTTCTTAATATCAGAAAGAGTGTTCAAGTGACAAAATGAATGAATGAAATGAATGAATGAATGAATGAATGAATGAATGAATGAATGAATGAATGAATGAATGAATGAATGAATGAATGAATGAATGAATGAATGAATGAATGAATGAATGAATGAATGAAAACGGCTTCGGAAGTAACCGAGAAGCAGAAAACTATTTTTAGCATCCATTTCTATAACGAGTGTGCGCCATCTACAGTGAACGTAGTGGCGGCAGTGGTTCCCGTGTTTACAACAAATATTTATTGAAGAACAACAACCACAGCAATTCTCGACAGTGTCCGTAAATCTGAATCTGTTGCAGAGCGCTAGTGGAACTTTCACAGTAGACTATTTGTAACCACAGAAGTCGCTATATTATCTGTATGACGTGTTATTGTTTATTATTGTTAATATCTCTGTGACAGGTGTGATCTATTAATAACTCTGTAATTAACACCCGTATTTTTTAATTAATCTCAGTAATTAACAGGTATTTAATCTTACGTAATGGGTCAACACGTATGGTATTTATTATAAGTCGGTCTCATTTGTCCTTTCCGAAATCGATCGTAGGCGGTTTTTCCCCGTCACCGATGCAGGTCGAGGCTGACATGGATAAAAGCGTCGAGCCGTTCTGATGGGACAATAAACTGAGGCCCTGTGAGCTACATACTGTGCATGTTAAAGATCCCTCGGCAGTTTGAAATCGAAAAAGAGCACTCACTTACATGAGGGTTGCGCAACCATATGCTACTGGTGATCTCTATGGTGTATGTCACCTTTATTCCATTTACATGTCAGAAATCTATTCACTGTTTCTTTAATCCAGCGAGTAATATTTCACACCCTCAGCTAGCAAGTTATTGACTTCTCTAAGTTAATTGGCTCGGGGTATTTCAGCTCACGTGAACAGGCCACAAGGTCGCTAATTATATCTTATTGTACATATAGTTCGTACACGATCTAAAGCTTAGGTCACACATTCACGGATCACTTCGCGACTTTGACGAAAGTAAGCTTATTGAATTTTATAAGCATTGAAATATTAACGTCTTGAAGATTGGAGACTACTAAATTATTAATATACTCGATCAATAAGTCATTTACCTATATTACTATAGACAAATTACTGGACAAACTATGAAATGAATGTATGGACGTTAGGTACGTATGACGTAGAACGTCCGAACGAATGATTGATGAATGAACGAACAGATGATGAAATCAACGAATGAATGAATGAATGGACTGCTGTTTGGGTTTGAAGAGGAAATGAGGGATGGGGGGTCATACTACTAAATAAAGGTATACGTTATCATTTAATTGATGAATGGTATAAGCTATGTGGACTCTCTGAAAGGATGCAAAGTTGGTTAACCAAGTCGCAGAGACGCATCAGGTAAACTAGGAGGGTTTCTACACTTGCGACAACCGCTATAGGCCAGTGAATGAGTGAATGAATGATGGAAAATGAATGAATGCATGATCAGTAACATAAGTTGTCCCCGGGTAATGATGTTACAAATATAACGTGGACTGACAGAATGAATGAAGGAATGATCAATAACATGAATGAATAAATGAATGAATAACATACAATGCCCGAGTTATAATGTAACAGGAATACAATAGGATTTGGAGTCAACAAACCCTGTCGCAGACAGTCATCACGTCGCTACGCTTGTGACAACCCATGAATGAATGAATGACAAATGAATGAATGGATGATCAATAACATGTAATGTCCCCAGGTTATAATGTAACAGAAATATAATGAATGTCGAGGCGACAAACTCAGTGGCAACAGGAACCATGTTATTCCTCGCTTCCTCGCTTCCTTATTTCAGAACAAATGAATGAATGAATGAATGGATAATATGAAATGTCCCGAGGTAATAATGTGACAGGAATAACAGATGTAAAAATAAATGACAGCTCGTCCCGAATTATTCAGACTATTACTGAAGATGGTGAAGAAGTCGCAGTAACTCCATATCGTTACAGCTCCTCTCCTGTCAACTCAATTTATCTCCTCGTAAAGTAATGTGATCGCTTTTCTACAACCATTATCTCTATCTTTACAAAACGAACCACGGCACGAGAATACTCTCTAATGTTCACGGTGACCACAGCACGCGACAAGACGAGCGCGGGAAAATCGATGGAGCAGTGGTAAACGTTATGTTAAGAAAGATTCTAGTAGAAATGGTGCAGCCGACATGTACGAAGTGTCGTCAGTATTTGAAAATAGGTAATGACCGCGGAGTCTAGGAGGGTGTTGGAAAGTAAACCACGTTCATCGTCTGCGCCTAAAAGCTCCGACATGACGAACATACCAAAAATAGTCCTCGAGGACAACAGGAGTGAACAGGAGTTGATTTCGTCACTGAGAATGGCGTCGGAACTAGGATTACCGGCTTCGAGTATGCCGAATTTATCTTTAGAACGGTTTGCAGAGATTCAGTCTGATGAAACGGGCAAATTAGGAGTGTACTGTTCTCCCAGGACAACGAGACGATCTGTGGATCTGGACGCTAAAAAGGAATACGAGTGGTTGGAGAATATCGACTCGACTAATTCGTTACGTGTGTTGGGAAGTTCGAGTCGGACAGGGAGTGCTTTATCGTTGAACAGTGAGTGTACAGCCAGGAGTATTGGACTCCTATCGAACGATTCTTCAAGTGAAAGCAATAATTCTATAGCTGAAAAATTCGCCGATTCTTCCTTGGACAAACAACCTCAGTTACGTCGGTACATGTCACATCCGGAAAAAGATTGTGAAAGTCCGGAAATGGGCGTAACTAGGAGTGTTCAGTCATGCGTAAATTTAAAGGGAGAGCAAGAAGCAACCGGAAGTGCTCATATGCTTAGTAACGATATCACTGCTAAGAAACTTGCTCTGTTACCTTCAGACTCTACAGATGAATTAGTGGGCGATCCGAATTCGGAAAAAATTTCAAAATTTGCAGATCCAAGCAAGTCTCATATCGTGTCGTATAAACGGGGTGAGAAGTGTTTACGAGAAGGTCGGATAAGACGATGGCTAGAGGATATGGATAAATAAGACTACCGGTATTAATATGTGAGACTGTATTATCCAGTCGTAATCTATAAATTCCAATACAGCGACCGGTTTTCATTTACTCGGCACCTGAAATCGATTTTGTTTTTTATTTGAGATGAAGTTGTTTCACGTCCTATATTTCTGTAAAGGGAAATAGAAATATTCTTTTATTTAGCCGAGTTTACACTGGAGGGAATAAATACAACAACAGTAGGGCCTTTATGGGATTTTATGTTCCAACTGTTCCGTGTATTATTGGACTAATGAAATGAAATGGAGTTTTACTTCCTTCTGTTCTGTATCTTATTAGACTAATGAAATGAAATGGAGTTTTACTTCCTTCTGTTCTGTATCTTATTGGACTAATGAAATGAAATGAAGTTTTATATCCTACTGTTCTGTATCTTATTGGACTAATGAAATGAAATGAAGTTTTATATCCTGCTGTTCTGTATCTTATTGGACTAATGAAATGAAATGAAGTTTTATATCCTTCTGTTCTGTATCTTATTGGATTAATGAAATGAAATGAAATGAAGTTTTATATCCTACTGTTCTGTATCTTATTGGGCTAATGAAATGAAATGGAGTTTTATATCCTACTGTTCTGTATCTTATTGGACTAATGAAATGAAATGAAGTTTTATATCCTGTTCTGTACCTTACAGGACTAATGAGATGAAATCAAGTTTTATATCATACTGTTCTGTATCTTATTGGACTAATGAAATGAAATGGAGTTGGAAACAATCTAATTTCGTGTGTTATGAAAAAAATGCAATCAAACATTATCGATTTTGCGATGCTTGAATTCGTTTAACTTTTGCAAAGTGTTTTTTTGCAGTGTACAACAATGTACAACAATGTACAAATTGTAAATCAATGTACAACAGTGTACAATATGTACATCAATGTACAACAGTGTACATGAATCAAAGCGATATTTTAACATTAGCTCATTACACCAATTGGATGTATTTAAACCGACGTTATGATCTATTTTTACATGATTTAAGTGATTTTGTGATCTCTATAAGAGCTAGTTATGGCTCAACTGTTGTGATATTAAGTTGTATTTGGTTTGTTTGTTTTATTGTTACGAATGATTTCATCGCCTATAGTCGGTTTGTTATGTTTATGCACACGGACGTGCAAACTGAAGGAATAGTCTACTTTATTTCGAGGTAAATTTCTTGGTAATTTACACATGTAAGAGTTACTCAATTCATTGCCAAGAAACAAAGTAAAGCATTCTTCTGTCTATTTGGAAACGTCGCCGTCGTTATAGTAATATATTTGAGCAAAAATATTAGTGCTCATTTGGTCTAAATCTAAATCCAAACAAGATCGGTCCACTTTATTTCGGGTAGAATGATGAGTAATTAAACTTTACAAGTCAAATCTTACATTGTGTTGATTACTATACTTACACTATCTCACAATTAAGTAGACTGCCCCTGTTTTTGTATTGGATCTGCCCAGAAAGAATTTGTTGTAAATGTAGAATTTTACATTGAGAAATATCATACCTATGACAAAACAGGGTAGATCCGGGTGTGCACATTACCTTGGCTTAACTATCTGTTCTATCTGTTACATACATAGACATGGGCAGTCTGAGTTGGTGTGGGGTAGAATACAAGGATCTGGATTGAATTACCTCTAAACAAAGTGGACTAGTCTATATTTTATTGCGTCCTCGGACGTGCAAAAGCATCGTTGATTGATCTGTTAATTGTTTTCACCATAACATACGTTTTGGGGGGAGGTTGGGGAATCCACAATCCCAGACTACGTTCTTGACAGAATGACAGAATCAACGAACCTTAGTACACTATGTATCTCTAAATGTCCGTCGAAAATAGTTTTAATTCATACATCTTATTCAATATTATGCTATGTTGAGTTAAACTCTACCGATTGAATAATTTTTAAAAACGAAATAATTTCCTCCATTGATTCCTTTAAATCAGTAAACCAAAGGCAGTTTGAATTCTATCAAAATATATATTTTTCTTTGACCAATCTGTTTGAATACGTTGTTATTATTGAGCGGTATCCTATGGGATTGAGATGGAAGTTTAAGCTATCAGTTGTAAACGAACTAGAATGGTTGTATCGATTAGAATTCCTACAATCAAACAATCTGCCACACGACCGCAATATTTCTTCTTTTAATGGAAATTGGCCAAGTATTTTGTTATTTTTATGTCAACAAAGGCGTGTATTCTGCTGACCTTGGAGTCGAGAGAAAGCGTGTGTTCTTGTTCAAGCCAGGGGTGAGCATTGCTGAGGGTAAATGAGAAGCCTCATAGATTTTTTTGTTGTTGCCGAGCACATAATTCGGAAAATAAAGTTTTATATTTACTCCTTTCACAAGGAACGGGTTCCTTGTCAAAACGCAGCAAGGGGGTACGAGGAGTCTGAAAGTTTGTTAACCTGGGTTTAAGGTGAAAATATACGCGCTATACATTACTACCAGTTGTGGGATGTTAACCCCCCCCCCCTCCCCCCCTCCCCCCCTCCACCTCGACATACATCGGCAAGTCAGCAAGCCTAGTTTCAATACCTGTTAAACTGAGTTTTGAATGTTTTTTAGAATATTTTTTGTGTGACCGATTTTCAAATGTATTCTGTTATACGTTTTCTGTGTATTTTGCAAATAATTTTACCAAAAAGGTGCACGATATTTGTTATATTATTTACAGGAAACTGGTGACCTACTTATTGTTGTGAAAGCACGTGCATACTGCAAGATATAGAATTCTGGGTGATTTTGTGATATTTTGATGTTATTTTGTATTGTTGAATTTCGTTATTAAATCAAAATTGTTTGTATGATTAAATTTTAGCTCATCCGAACTTGACCAATTCTATGACGTCACCATCGACAATACTATTATGCTTTGCTGGCAATAAAAACTACGAGTGCAACAGCTATACGTAGAAAGTACTTTGTTCCCAACTATCCTTATATAGTAATAATAATAACATTTAAAGGGACAGTTACGCCATTTTGGGGGGTTTATCTTGAATATATCCATAAATAGTTTCAGAAGTAATAGAAATGTACGAAAACGGCACAATTCCTTAAAAATATCTCAAAATAGGAATTTCTATTTCTATAGATATTTTTTCTATATATGGCAGTGTCTCAAGTAAAATATGACTCGCCTTTTTAACATTTGAACGCGGATAATTCTGGACAGACATGAATTTGAAAGCTCAAATTTCGAGTGTGAGCTGTGCACCCTATTACTGATTGGCTTTGTTAAATAATCCCGTTTCTGAGGATAAGGTACGCTTTAACGCTTAGTTTTAATGATATTGCAAGAACAGCAAACATCTGACTGAACATTTGAAAGCTGTGAATCGATGCCATCTATCACTGTCCCCAATACACAAAAAAGTTTAGATAAACCCTCTATACGATCTCTTGAATAAACCTCTTTAGAGTCGCCCTTAAATTAACAAATATCTGTCTCATCCGGTTAAAGATTATCGGAAAAAGGATGTTGAAGATGCACTACATTCAATACACATAATTATCATTTATTTTACATCATCAAATAAAACAAATTAGATACAATAAGTGTCTACATGGTAATCTGTTGTATAAGGCAACAAACCCAGGGCTATATTCTCCACAGTTATCTCCCTTTATAGAGTTCCGGTTTCAGGCATTTGACAGGTACATCGCTCTCGTGATCTGCCTCGACGTTCAACAGTCGTTTTGTTAACCACGTAACCAGATGGGCAGCATATTGGTCTGTCATTAGCAGTACCAGATACCGACCCCTCACCACAATCGTTCTGAACATTACATCTCATTGGCCTACCTCGTCCCTGGCCTCGTCCTTGGCCTCGCCCCTGTCCTCGTCCCCGTTGATTTGGTCTGCGCCCTCCTAAGCGTCTCCCTCCGCCTCTGGCCCCGATACATTTACATTTAGCCTCGGTCATAGCTCCTCTGGGTGGTCGTAGTCGGATTCTCGATCCCTCTGAACAGCAGTAGTCTTTACCATCTAGACTTTCCATCACTGGATTATCTCCACAAGTATTATCTGTTTTACATGGGGTTCCGGCTGGAAGAAATTAAAAAACGAAATCATATATACATGTATTACAAGTTACAAATAAACTTTTTCTGTTACAAGTTTGAGGATAGAAGGGTTTCCGGATTATTTGTGATCAGTAAACGGCACTGATTTACTTGCTATATTTTGAAATATTTGTTTTATTTCAGGGTTAAAATTAAATTGTAAAACTTTGACCGTTTTTGAAAGAGTTCAACTAACTGTTTTTCATAAAGTACATGTATACATAAACACACCAGAAACATATATCGAAAACAAAACAAAAATTCTATACACACAATCTATCAATAACATGGAATAGACTCGGTTACTGTTGTCTGTGTAGGGAGGTGGGGGTGACTCACGGCAGCAACATCAATGACGAATAACTCCTTTAAAACAAACCTTTTCGTCCTCGTCCAAACGATTTTACAACAACAACAAATATTACCAGACACGTCAGAAAAAATGCTACCTTCGCCATGTTGGAGTGTTCTTATCTGTAAATAAACGTATTTATTATTGTTGACATCGTCTTATTAACACATTCGAATATATATTATCATATTATTTATCAATAAGGCGGCTGGGTACGTTTTTAAGATAAAAAAAACCCCTCAAAAACAACAACTGCAATAGATCAACTTCACATTGTCAAGCTATTACGATCTTCGTCTTATACCTTGGCTGTAATAGCGATTTGATTGAATTGTCTGACAACGAATACAGCCAATCAGAGCCCTCGACTGTCAAAGTTTATAGCCTTTCTGCAGAGAGCTCTGGCTGTATTCGCTGGCGTACAACCCAATCAAATCGCTGCATTTACAAACAAGAATACATATACTAGAATAGTAGCGATTGCAGCCAAGGTATTAGACGAATTTTCAAAATGAAGTATTTTTCCATCCTAGGCCTGAACATTTGGGAGAATCAAACCCTCTCTTCCTCAAAAACTGAATAATATTAACTATGTAAACATTTGTAAAGGGATGCCAAGTTGAACAATTGAAATCTATATAAAAAAAAAACGCCTAAAATTGATGAATATTTATGCTCTTATTGTCTAAGTTTTAAAATTTAAATTTTATGTTCATTCAACTGCCCAAAACTGATTTCGCTCTATTCGACTATATTATATAATATATGCCTTTCTATTTTGTTTTTTTTTATAAACAATTAAATGATAACATACCAAGTTCACTCTCGTCGTAGTCCGCTATCTTAATTGAATTATCTAACTTGATGCATTTAATATATAGTTTCAATTTACACCACAATCTATGCATCCTGAATAACACACTGGGACAGTCTACTGTCTGCTATTTCTCAAGTGACTACAACGTCATTTTAAGATACGACGTCAAACTTATACTGAATTCCTTGTGGGGCAAATCTTTTTTTTTCATATTATGCATTTTATAAAACGATTTGATTTTATGCACAAATTATTTCAAAATTTGGAAAATCAGTTTATGTTACTACGTATCCTCCCCACAAATAAAGTGAACTATTCTTGTTTTTGTTTATAAATATCCGGATGTAGACCTATACCATTTTAAACTGTCAACTCTAATGTATAATTGATGCGATTCTGTCAGACCAGTTTTCATTTACGTAATCATATATACATGTAACCCAGTTTTGGGGGAAATTGACACTTAAACTGTCAAGATCTTAAAGGGTGAATCCCAAAGATAAACACCGAAAGAAACACAATGCATTATTATGGTATTGATTCTACGATGTCCGATATGATGGGCGATGCTGGAAATTGTATACACGAGGTGGTCTGGTCACGATGCGGATCATCTTCACAATGTCAAGCTATTATGAACTGCGTCTTATACCTTGACTGCAATAGCTACCTTCCTTGTATCATGGAAGTTTGTAAATGTAAATCCCCCATTAGCTTGATGAAAGGAGTATTCTGAATATTCTACATATTCTGTCCTAATTTCATGAATCATTTGCTCGGTGATGAAAACTCTTCTAGGAGGCTTCGCATGTACCCATGGAGGTGTTTACTTGCACCTCTAGGAAGAACTAGCACACCATCTTATCAACAAGGGTGTTATTTACCGAGAATTGTGCCATATTCAATATGATAGTAGGCCTCGACCTAAGATTAACCACCACGCTTGATAAAAACTAATTTATAATTATATTACCGTAACAGCAAGTGTCTGAACTTTTTCTAAATGATAACCCAGATATAGACCGATAAGATATCAACATATATCATCGTACCCTGAACAGTGGCTCAAGTATCACAGGGACTGGTTGAACCACGTCCGGGGGCCCCCACCCCTAAGGAGGCTCCCACACCCAGCAAAAATGCAGGAGGATATAAAAAAATTCCCGGGAGTTATACGGGCCCCCAGCTCATCTAGTTCAGCCACTGGTGCTGAATAGGTTTTTATTTACTTCGTCAACTTCGTGGTCCTTTGGAAGTGAGCACAATAAAGAAACCTTTAAACAGTATCATCGATCTGTCGTTAGATCCTGACTGAAGTGACTATGTAAAAAGTTAATAAAAAACGCAAAAAAAGTTTGGTTTATTTTCAATTATGTTAAACGAATATATATGTATATATTGTGACCATGTATCGTTACTCTCTGTACAGCCCTGATGATAACAATGTAAATTGTTGAAACGTTGTGTATAATAAACTCTGAGTAGTATACCATAAAATTGTGTACTGTTATTTAATGTGAACTCTAACCTTAAATATTGCTGAAGAATTGCATACAGGCCTGTATTATTATTTGTTTAAATTGAATGCTTATAAATCTGAATGTCTTTTGTTTATGTTATATCATGTGACATATTCTATGCATCAAAGTCTAAAAGATAACATCGTTTGTCACGGGGGTGGTTTATCACATTGTAAGTTTTCTTTTATCAAAAACTCGGATTATCATGTTGAAATAAACATAATAATACATGTAAGTCCTAATACTAAACCAACAACTTGCGTTAAAACCGATAGATATTATTTTTGTACTGAGGTACTTTGAGGAAGTCGAATATTTATATCATTTGAACAAAAAACTCATATTTAATGGTTTAGAAATAGTTTAAAAGATAATTTGAAGGCTTTGGTGAAATTTTACAACCTTCTTAAAACATCTACTTATTAAGTCTAAGAAGAGATTCTTCCGACATTTTACCGATGATTTTTCAGGTTCTATTAATATTGCAACCCGGATGTTATCCATAGCTTTTGAGCTTTGTGAGAAGTTACAGATTTTAAATTTAACAAAGATAAATGTATAACAGAAGGGGCATAACTCTTTTTACTCTTAATAACACTAATTGGAGGGCGTAACTCTTTTTATTCCGAAATAAAGTTCAGACTACAAGGACGTCACCAGTGTAAAACATTTCGTCTTTCCTCACTCTGGCAGCAAAGTATAACACTTGTCCCTTCCACCTTTGTACCTTGTAGAACATTACGAGCTAGACAGGATAGTTTGCCAAAGGACTGTCTGTCCCTTGTATAACCTATATCCGAGTTAATTAGACAGAACAGTAAAGTTGGCTGTAAAAGTAATTAAATGTCATATGATTCTTGGTGTTTAGCAGCATATTGTGGTGGTCATAGACTTGTACTTGATTAATTGTTAATGACACTATTACAGATCAAACGTTTCTCGTGGTGAGCAATTTCTCCTGTTTGTGTGTAGGACTGATATTACTGTCTTCGTCACATTAATCCTGCCAGATGGTCCGTTTTGATACCGTTCAGATTGACCCAATATGTCGTCAAATAAACATCTGTTAAATTTTGGATGTCAGTTCAAGTATGATTCATGAACAGATGTATGCTCTTATCAGAGTCATTGATTGAATATTGGTACAGGAATATGCAAGAGTCAGAATGGTGCGAGAATTATTTGAAATGGTTAGAGCTAAAAAAAAAATAAAGCTTGCATTACATTTCTAAATCCATAAAGAAATGCCATCACCGTAAATGGACAATCATAGGTTTGTGGTCTGTGTCTTTCATAAACACCATAACATAGTCGACCCCCGAATCACACTCCATCATTTTAATGTGTCTTTTTGTCCACACTTGAATTTTGAATCTGTACTTCGATTTTTACCCAGATTTATGAATTGGTTTAATTGTTTTATCTTGTATTTCTCGGTTTCTCCATGTGAACCATCGATCGAAACAGTTCTAATTATTGTGTAGCTTCGTAGTCATCAACGCATCACGCAAAACAGACTGAGTTAATTCCGTACTGTTATTAGGGCTGAACTTGACGAATTACATTTGGAGCGAGAATTTCCATATCAGCAATAATTCAAATATATTGAATACGTCATTAATCAAAACTGGGTTAACAATTTCTAGGGTGGAACACTTTCAATTACAGACTCCTAACATTCTTAAGTTTTCTTAGAAATAGATTCACGATGGTATAGGTTATAAGATATCATATTACATGCATGTAAGTTCAATCGATTATTTGAAATGTCCTAGATCGACCTATACATAAATAATTTCAGATCTATTATCATTCTAAAGCAGACGACGTTTCAACTTCCGGTTTTTGGTAACCTGAATTTGAACCTGCGCAATGACTGTATTTTCTCCGTTCTGGTTTATGTGAGTGACGTCATGGTATACAAGTCGGTAGGAGTGATATTGTTGATACTATGATGTGAGTGTTCGATCCCTAGGTTTAGGACTGTACATAGTTAACTGTGGATCGATGTGGATTCAAAATGGATGTACAACTTGTAGTATTAACTGTGATATATATAGTATTAGCAAGAGTTGTGGCCAAACCTGTTCTCAATGAAAACTACAATGTAGAGGTAAGCTTACATTAGAATGATATCAAAAGATTAACCCATTAGTAGAATATTGATATCATGGTACGACACCGTGTCTGATTTAATTACGGCATAACCGTTACCGTTGCCGTATATCGAAAACGCAAGGAACCTGTTACATAACGAGCGCATCGGTAACAATTGGAAGTATATTGATATAATGGTACCGCTCCGTGTCAGATTTGTAAATGACATAGCTGTAACCGTTCCGTACATCGAACCCCGTTACGATTGGACATACATACGTAATCGTAATCGAACGACATAGGATATTAATCGCATTTATATATCATACTTCAATAATAAGAAAAGTCGAACGTAAAGGCACCGTATACAGGCAGTACCTCAATTAAACGAGCGGGGACTCGTGGACTTAAATGGGTTGGGGCCCCACCCCTGGGATTTATTTTAAACATATGCTTTCCTGCATTTGTTATGGTGGTGGAACCACCCTAGGGGCATGGTTCAACCTGTGGTAGTTTAGCCACTGTATATAGACCTTCGTTAGCCGTTGTGAACAAACTTCGAGAATCTAATCGTCTGCCAGTTGTTTGAAATCTTCTGTAGTTTAATTTATTGTAAACGCAACGGTATCGCTAGTCAAAATCTCTATATATACAAATGTTAGTAATAGTATACGTTATAGCGTTAGTAATAGTATACATCATTTGTTATAAGATATAAAGAGATGTAACAGGCTCGTATCGTGATTAATTATATCAAGAAAGAAAGGAACCTTATTGTATTGTATCTGGCTGGTAGATATATAGTTCATGTATCTCCATAGTGAAATGAAATGGAGTTTTACTTCCTTCTGTTCTGTATCTTATTAGACTAATGAAATGAAACGAAGTTTTATATCCCACTGTTCTGTATCGCATTGGACTATTGAAATGAAATGGAGTTTTACTTCCTTCTGTTCTGTACCTTATTGGACTAATGAAATGAAATAGAGTTTTATATCCTACTGTTCTGTATCTTATTAGACTAATGAAATGAAATAGAGTTTTATATCCTACTGTTCTGTATCTTATTAGACTAATGGAATGAAATAGAGTTTTATATCCTACTGTTCTGTATCTTATTGGACTAATGAAATGAAATGTAGCTTAATATCCTTCTTTTTTGCTTGATTGAGTTAATAAAATGCAGTTTTATATCCTACTGTTAGTCTTATTTCCTATTGGACTTTACTATTCCATGTGTTTTTTGGACTAATAACTACTTTTACGGCCTACTATACTGTAACTTGTTGGACAGTCTTTGAGATAGTCTTCAGTAAGTGGTTAATGTCTTTGGTCGATTTTGACCTTTGTTCTCTTGTTTATCGCTGGATAGTGACGGATTAACCGGAGCTACCACAGTAAAGG